GTGTGTGTGTGTGTGTGGACAGACTGAATGAACCTGTTTGGGTTTTTTTTTAACATGACATCACAGGATAACAATCAAAAACCCCCAAAACATTTTTATTATTTGTAACAATATTTTAATTGGCTTTTATTTTGACAGGCCCAGGAGGAAACCTGTATATTCCGCTGCATCTTTAATAAAAGGACGTTTGTGGCAACCTGTGTGCGTTTTTGGGTTGTGATGGATAATAATGATGACACATCGGCCAAACAGTGCAACATAGAGAACATAAAGAGTCCCTAAAGGTGGCTCTCAAAGAATTGATCCTTCCTAAGCACCGCCCCTTTTGACTCTGTGCCCAATAACAGTGGAGCAAACCTCGGTCAACTTCCTCCTTCCCTTTACTTAGATATGCGCTAACTAATGATTCTGGTTACCTAGCTTTCTGTGTTCCCAGGTGAATTTTGTTATTTTTTATTTTATTGCTTTAATCTATAGTGAGAAAAGGGGGATGACACACAGTGGAGAGCCAGCCTTACACTGGGCACCAGTTCTAACAGGTGAGCTACCTGGGCGCCCAACTCCCCAAAAACTCTTGCTCAGAATGTTTTCTCTGGGCTGGAGAACTCACTGTTACAAACATACACAGTGAAGCAAAGATTTCATTCGTCACCAACTGCAATAGTCCAGACAACTGGGTTTGTCAAGCTTGAATACATTTTCCAAGGAAAATATCGCAAAGTGTCCCCTTCAGCGCTCTTTCGCCTCTTTGATAAGCAGACCTAGAACCTTGCACTGAATTCATTTCTTTGTATTTAAGATCAAAATAAAACTCTGTGGACCTCTGCATAGCTTTGGTTTGTGGTTTCCCAAATGACACACGTAAAGCAATGAAGCTCGGACCCTAGGGTTTTGAACCGTAAGTACATCTGTATCTTTGTCTTCCATGTCCCTCTAGGCCTGTAGACTTTTTTCAGTTTCTACCTTAAAAACGATCCATTCAGATTTTATTTTACTGATTCTGCAAATATTTTAGCAAAATATACATGAACACTGATTATCATTTATCTGATATTTTAAAGCAATTATAATATTGATGATGACTACATTTAAAACTAAAAAAGAAAACAATCTGGAATGTGAGAGACATTGAAATGACTCCTGACTAATTCTGTTACTTTGAATTTATTTACTTAATTATTCATTTTCTAGACCAGGAGGCTCTTAAGAAGGAAAAGTAGATCAGTAAATATGAGGTAATGTTAGAGAATATAATGTGTCTATATAAAATATAGAGACATGTTGACATCACAAACAGATCAATGAATGTTTTTTAATTTAGAGCAGACTCTGTCACGTTGTCCTTTTCCAGCAGGAGAAACTTTCACCTTCATTATCGTCTTCACTCTGAGTTTGAAAATCCTAAGAAAGCCGTTCCTAATCTCTTTAGTCCGGACGCCGTAGATGATGGGGTTGACCGTTGCTGGGAACAGAATGTACATCAGTCCCATGAAGGTGTTGACGTCCGTCGGGATGGGGATGTTCAGGTTGTGAGAGAGGAACGTGACGCTGCCCACCAGGTAGAAACACATCATGACGATCAGGTGAGTGCCGCAGGTGTGAAACGCCTTCCAGCGGTCCTCATCGGCAGCCGCCGTTCGCAGGACAACGCTCAGGATCTTTATGTAGGAGAAGAAGATGAGCGGTATGTCCACGCCCACAAAGCAGACGATCACAGCGAGGCCGGCTGCACTGTTTTTCTCCGTGCTGTCACATGCCAGGCTGACCAGTGCCATGTGGTCACAGTAGCAGTGCTGGATCGTGTTGGAGTTGCAGAACCACAGCGACCCCGCCAAACCGACCAGCACCGCCATGATGGTGCTGCTGCGGACCAAAGTGAAGAGCAGCAGCTTCACAAACATGGAGGAGTCAACGATTTTGGCATAGCGCAGTGGGTGGCAGATGGCCACGTAGCGGTCTAGCGCCATCGCCAGCAGCAGCGTTGACTCCAGTGAGGACAGGAAGTGAGTGAAGAACATCTGCGTCAAGCAGCCAGCCAATGAGATCTCATCCCTATCGAACAGCAGGCTGAAGAGCATGTTGGGGATGATGGCGGTGACTATGAGGACGTCCACGATGCACAGCATGCAGATTAGGAGGTACATGGGGCTGTGTAGACTCTCCACGCTGCGGATCACGTACACCAGCAAGGGGTTTCCCAGCAGCACCAACAGGTAGGAGACGGAGAACGGCAGTGCCAGCAGCCGGCGGTGTTTCTGCAGTTCAGGAAATCCTCTGAACACGAAGCTGCTGTGGGAGAAGTTCCTGCCAAGCGACGCCTCCAACATGATGCCAGCTTCACCTGAACAGTCAAATGAAAATGAAACTGAACCGTGTATTTAAGGCAACAGGCCTCGCGCAAAAAGCGATTTACTAACACATTTCCTCTTAGTTTTGTTTGTATCCACGATTTGTTCTTGTTTTGTTGGCACCCATTGATTTCTGGGAATGTTTTCTTAATTTTGCTCTTTTCAGAGGTCAGAAAACATTTTGTGGTCGAGAGCACTCGTACCAATACAACGACAAAATATCTTTTAATTTCACAAACCGTCCAACGCAAAGAAACAATTTACATTTGAGGAACGTAAAAAAAGAAAAAAGAAAATAAGAAAACAGTAATTATAGTGATTGGATTATTCAATGTATGGGCTAAAGAAATACTATTGATCCCTATTAAAGTGTTAAAAACCTTTTTTGGTGTTCTGTTGTATCGAACTGATGAATCTCTGCTTTTAGATTCGTGCAGCTGCTGTACTACACTTATTGACGCACATTGTTTCCACTACACTGCTGAATTATTGTGCAAAACTAAAGCTAAATAATAGTGACTTTACAGATGCAACAGTGACAAACAGGAATAAAATACACAAAGACAGTAGAACAAAAAATACAAAAGATGATGTGCCGAACGTAACCTCTAAAAAGCTCATTGTGATAAATCACTGATTGCCCCTTCTTTACAGTTTAGTGCAGCTCACAGACGGCCGACAGAATGAGTTTGATGGTGAGAGATTAAATAAAAACTAATAGGAAAGAGATTCAGACAAGATAAAATTGACATTAAAACAATATAATAGGTTTAACAGTGTGAAATAAATAAAGAGTGATGTCCTTCATTAGATATCTGGAGGCTTATAATGTATTTCACTCTATGGAGGCCCATTCAGTTACTTTGTATTTATCAATATGCATCTGTATACAGTGCAAACCCTATTCAAATGTTAGTGATACAGTTTAATAAATAAACTGCCAATATGTTATACGATAAATTATATGATCATAAAGTCATCCAGAAATCAGCAGTGAGAAACATAGTTACTAATTTAAATCAAAATGATGTTTTCATTGAGATTTAAGGTGATTATTAATGTATTAATCAGGTATGACATATCGAAGCATTGTTTCACCCATACAACAAAAAACATAAACTCTGTCACTTACTTCCCTCTAGTATCCATCCATGCAGATCGCCATTACACGGTTCTGAAAACACATGGAAAATATGTTTTTGTGACCTTTAAATCAGTTTAGTGAGAGAACACACACATTCTGGTGATGTGCATGGGTTTTTAAAAATATATATGTTGCTATAACCATCTCAAAAGTAAATCTAATATATTACTAAGTTATATTATGAAATAAGAGGAAAGCTAGCAGTCTCTGACACATACCTTCACAAATCAATACCTACGCAAATTTAAACACGATATTCCAATTTGCATCCCATTGTTTCCTGTAAATTTGACCAATCGTTCACTTTCTTGTCTCTAGTTGTGAAGATGCAGACATAATCCTGATTTACTCACTTAGCCAGTTTCAGTGTCATTCTTGCTCTTTTATTAGTTAAGCTACTGTCAGTGAAACTCAACACTTCCTGCATATATTTCACATTAAAAGCATGACAGGAAAGGGAGGGATCATGTCTTTAGAAATGCTGAAAGGCTTTTAATGTGGAACATTTTTGCAGGCTGGTTAAGTTTCATCAACAGCAACTTAAGAATGAATAAAAGAACAACAAAGTAAAACAAATGGCGTTGTTTGAATTGTTTTGAAAAGAATTGTTGAAAACAAATTACATACATAATACTGAATTTATCAAGACAGACATACTAAATAAAACATGATTAAAGATGCCTATAAAACAAATAAAGGCCTGTTTCTAATAAGGGCCTGCACTATTACAAAGTAAAAAACTGCATAGATAAATCCTGCATTCAAGTTTTTACGCTAGTCAAACACTCAATATACATAGTGTCAGTGCACATATAAAATGTTAATCTGCAAATTAATCTTACTTGCAGCTGTTAATCAAAGACATACAACACACAATATTTCTCTCTTAAAAACACAGAACATTAAGAAGTAAAGCAGCATTGATTGTTTTCATCAGACACACACAATTACAATCAATTACTGGTTAAATCATTAAAGTGAACTCCCTACCTGCTGCGGTTTACCAGCTGGTCGTCAGGAAGAACTCTGTCCTCTCTCGCTTCATCTTATACCTGAAGTCCAAACGTCCCACTGGGAGACTGATCTCAAACGCAGCGGCACTCTGATTGGCTTTGAACCAATTTAAAGTTCCCTGAGCCGATTAGAGAACTAAAGATTCTCCAGAGTTTAATCAATGGGTTGACTTCACGTTCACTTCTTTAGGGACCGAGCAGTGACCGCTATCGTAACGAAGGCATTATTTTCCTGAGGGGCTAAAGATGCTGGAAAACTCCTGAAACTCGTCACAAGTGGTGAAGATGTATGTGTGGCTTGATAGCACCCCCTAATGAGCAGCCCCCATCTCGCTAGCTTTCAGTTGAATGGCGTTGCTGTGGTGTCCAAACTCCGCCAACCTATTTGTATGAGAAGTGCTATACAAGTAAAGTCTGATTGTTGGTTTTCTTAATAAAACTGTTGGTCATGTGAAGACATGTTTCCTTACTTTGTTACGTCAACTAATCCTGAAAAAAGAAAATGGCAGATTGATACTGAACATGAGTGTGAGTTGCAGCCCTACATTATCACACATTATGACCCAACATCAAAATCAATAAAGTACCGCTTCTTGTTATTGATTGAACATGTTTTCTGTTACTGACTGTTTTTCTATATAAAACTGGAAGGACATTATTGTTTCTGTACTCCACGCTGACATTTTCTCTTTATTATATTCATCACCAAATTATCATCTGAGCAATTTAAAATGTATTGTGTATTTTTCACAGCAGTATTTTCAACTGAAACATCACTGAAATCAAACAAATCTGACACCATCGCCTCTTGCTGCAATATTGAAACAGTAAATCAGAGGAAGGAACATGTTTCCTCTGAGGTTTTAACTGGAAAATCAAATTAGTCCGTGGCTACATCCCTTCAGCAATCTCAGCCGGCAGTTTGTTGTTGTCGTTCGACAAAGCTAATTGGCCCCGAGGTCAAAATGGCGACGCAGGGATTAATTATCTGCTCCGCTCAATGAGTCTTTTCCGTCAGACTGCTGGGACTTTTGTGACTCAGGATTTAATAAATGAACACTGTGAAGGACTCGACTGACAGGGCAGCTCTCCTCAAGGCTTCCTGCTCGTCCACAGTTCAACTGAACGAATGGCTCGTAAACATTGATAATTAAACTAATACCGTCAATCAACCTGATCAGCCTTTATCAGTGCAGCTCGTGGTTTCTGGTAGTGGAGACTAACCACGTTAAACAATGCATTCCAATATCAGCAGTTTGCAATCCAAACTAAAAAAGGCTCCCCTGCACAAACTCCCTTTAAAGAAATATCACAATTTATACAATTTAACGTGTTCGTTAACAAACACGTAACTCTAGAAACACGGAGCCTAAAGGGGCGTCATATGTCCACAGTCTGACTGTCAATACAGGATCCAATATCATCATACAGGATACAGTGTATTCTGATCAATATCATCCATAAACGATACAGTGGTATACTGATCAATATCATCCCATAAAAGATACATTGGTATACTGACAATTATCATCCAAAATGATACAGTGTATACTGATCAATAATCCATTAAGATACAGTGTATTACTGGATCAATATCATCCATAAAGATACAGTGTATACTGATCAATATCATCCATAAAGATACAGTGTATACTGATCAATATCATCCATAAAGATACAGTGTATACTGATCAATATCATCCATAAAGATACAGTGTATTTAACACATGATAGTGAAGGTCCAGTCCTGATCCGTCCTCTCAGCAGATTGAAGAGCAGCAGGTGTGAAGAAGCGACGCCTCCGACTGTGAGAACATCTCACCTCCGATCAGACACCGCAGGTCAAAGGTCAACTTCCTGCCCTGCGACCTCTGAACACAACAGACGCTCCCGCAGACGTCAGCTGTCGGTCAGAGAGGAATAAAACCAACAACTGTTTGTTCCTTCAGGTCGAAGTTCAGCTGAAGGAATATGAAAAATCATTTCACTGGTTACTTTATTATTATTATTTATTGATCCCCGACAGGAAGCTGAGCAGACGTGATAAGAAACAATAATAAAGAATGTAAAATATGTGAATTAAATTATAATATATAACAACAATATATATAGAAAGTATAAAATAAGAGTCTGTGTTTGAGAGCAGCTGCTGTGAATCTGTATTTTATCCTCTGGTGACGTAGAAAATGTAAAGTTTACTCTGTACGGTGGCTCTTTCAGGACATCTCACATCTCAAACCTAAAACACAGCTGCTAGCTTAGCTGTAACACTGTACGTACAGTGTCCGAGGGTTATTGATCAGGTCACAGGTTATTGATCAGAGATGGGAGCGCTGCAGACAGGAAGTTGTTTGATGTGTGATCGACGTGCTGAAGGAACCGTGACAGAGAGGAAACAGAAAGTGTGTCATCAGCGGCAGGACGGAGCCAGCGGTGGCGGTGGGCGACAGTTTCTGTTCTAACCACCACTGAGGAAGAACTGACAGCAACGGGGACATCATCTCACACACACACACACACACTCACACAGTATGCACACACACACACACGCACACAGTATGCACACACACGCACACACACACACACTCACACAGTATGCACACACACACACACACACATATGCACACACACAGAAACAGTAGCGTGTCGTCTGCATACAGATAAATATTAACTGTTTGATTATTTCCCTGTTCTGACTGTTCTGACGCTGGAGGAGCGCTGCAGGTTGAACTGAGGGTGGCGCTGGAGGAGCGCTGCAGAGCTCTACAGTCTGTGGTTGGTTTCACTTCCTGCCGCGGTCGGGCTGGGGGGGCGAGCGAGGCGGCCTCAGAGTGGAGAGAGTGAGTGACGTATGAGGAGTCTCCTCGCTCTGTTTACAGTGTGGGAGGTCAGAGGTCGGGTTTTCCTGCTCGAATGTCATCATTGTGTTCATCACAGAGTCAGTGTGTGTGTGTGTGAGAGAGAGAGTGTGTGTGTGTGTGTGTGTGTGTGTGAGAGTTCCTCTTCCTGTCTGATATCAATCTGTTCACACCTAATAAACACATCTAATTAAGCACAGTGTTAGTTCAGGCTCAAATCCAGATACATCAGCTGATCACAGCTAATCGTAAACACACATCAGCTGACTCCCTCCAACATTCAATCAGCATATATGATTCATGGCTCCTTATTTAAGCTGCATTAGTCTGCCTATCTTTGCTGCTTCCTCTACAAGCTCCTCCTTTTAACTTCTATCTAATTAATCAATATTAATTTCTGATTGCATTAATGCTCACTCTGTTCTGTCTTAAAGGACAGGGAGGTCCCAGAACAGAGCCATGCCACCAAATATAACATTCTGCTTTAGA